ATTCAAGCTCTCAGAAGTGTTTTCGTCTAGTTCCGGTAGAGAAAGAGGAGTGTGAAATTTAAGAAATTTCCTAAGCAAATCAGCTAAAGGCTGACATATTAGTAAGCATAATAATAGAGCTAATATATTTGCAAGCTTAAAATGAAAAAACCTGCAGCAAATATGATTCCTTAAAGGCAAATCCTCAAGGGGGTTATGGTCAAGTCATTATCTGCTGTATGCAAACGTAACTTCAAAAACACCAGACTTCTAACCACACTCGACTGAATAGTTTTGCTGCCCGGAACCTTAACACTAGATGTGTTTACTTATTGCCCAGAAGTAAGTTCTACAACAAAAATATTAAAACATGCAAATTGTCACAAATCCACCAAAAAAGGGAATATTGGAACAGTTCCCTCAGAGTTGCACAGATGTATCTGCAGTAACAATTGTTGGTCCTACTGTTGGTGTGCATCTCAGTATAAACGGCACGACAGCCAGTAGCATCCTGAGTACACAGATACAAATACGCAGAGTATCACAACAGATGTGGAAAAACAAATGTATACAGAAGGACAGCAGAGTAGGATCTTTATTTGATTACTTGTAATTAAAAAACATTTTTCCTAGGCTCCATTATCTTACTTATATCTCTAAACATCTATTGAATAGATCATCTGTGTTTTTACAAATCTAAGGTATAGAGGGCACCATTATATTTATGTACTGTAAATATTTCTTGTGGCAACCTAAGTCAGGTGTCAATCTAAAAATAAAACCTTCAAGCAGCATCCTGTTACTTATTATCAGCATTTGCGGTTTTTCACACTGGGCCAATCAGCAGACTGCAAAGTCAATCTAAGATTAGCTGATATAAACAGTGAATTCTGCTCTGCAGACAGCATTTGGCAGGTTCATTTGATTTGTTATGTACTGCCCGTGCCTGTGCACTGCAAATTTTACTCCTATGAAATTAAGGTCTGATGATAGGATTGTGGAAGGGTCTTAATTCCCACTGAAGACCTGGTGCAAAGGGGAGTCTAATGAATGGAACGACTCCCATTTATTTAAACGAGCTTTACATTAAATCAGTAGTGGGTTTAGCTTTGTAGCACAGACATTTGTAACTATGGTCTTAGCCAGCGTTCACATTTTTTGTTTCCATGCTTGGCTGGATTTAGGCCCAACGGAGGTCAGCTCTTGGCATTTTCAGAATTTATGGTGCTTTCCTTTTTCTGCTGAATTTGAAATCTTGTTTTAATGAGTATCTCAGTCTGCCTCAGCTATTCCTGGAATAGGCACGGATGTCTCTTCAAACTGGCATTGCCTTTCTCTTCCATTTCCTTAGCCCTTTCTCTCCTGCCTGCTGAGAAGAGGCATAATCTGAGGTCTCGAGCAATGCCAGGGCAGCGCAGACCCTGCAGCCCCGGCTTGCGCTGCAGTTTGCCAGGCTACCTTTGCAATGAAAGAGATGGGGAGCAGCTGCCTGGCTCGGCTGTCAGAGGGATGAGCTGCCTGCAGGCACCGGCAGGGGCAGACCGTAGATGATACCCTCTTATTCCTGCCTCTTGTTTTTATGTGGCAGGACAAAAAATGTAGTAGAGGAGGAACGGGAAAAAGTGACTTTAAATTGCAATTGCTTCTTACTTTTCAACAGTCAGGTGCCTTGCTAGAAATTAAGGTAGCCTCCAGGAACTGTTGAACTGCTCCAGCTGCTGGGAGCCCTATGTGTGTGCAGTGCCCCTTTCCATGCACACCCTCTGCTGCGTCCGACCGTCGTTCCTGTTGCAAGCAGAGGACAATGGCTCCACCAGAACAATGCTTTTCTGTGGAGAGGGGAGGACTAAGGGCTGAACCACAGAAGAGAGCACAGGCCAGAGGAAGTCGCTAGCCTCCCAGTAAGACTTAGATTCCCCAAACCGCGTCGGCTCCTAGGCCCAAGCTTTTAGAGAAATGCTGTGTGTTTTATTGATCTGATTCTGCCATTTCTTTATTTTAGATCTCTACCAAGAACCTGTAGCCATGCCATACTGGCCTTTCTCCTCCTCCGACTTCTGGTCGTATGTGGAGTATTTCCGGACCCTGGGAGCCTACAACAGGATCAATGAAATGGCCAGAACCTTCTTTGCTCAGTTCCCTTTCGGAAGTCGTCTTGGCTACGACGTCCCAAACCACGAGCGCTAACCGCGGCTCGTCTTCGCTGAGGCTGCCGCCGAGAGAGACGTCTAAGGCCACGAACGGCGGCGGGAACAGCCAGTTCAGGCACCTGTGTTATCTCAGCACTCTTTAAACCCTGTAGCAGTCCTATATACCGCTGCTTGCTGTAGAAAACCACAGGCAATTAAGCCGTCTTTTCTTTTTACGCTTCATGCAATAAACCCCTTGATGCCTGACGCTGCTGTGAGGTTCTTGACGCTTTTAAGCGGCAGACGTTACACGTTTTTAAACGCTGCAGACTTGTCTGAAGAGGCTGAAGAGAGATGCTGAAGAGATCTGAAGAGCATCTCTGATGCTGCCTTCACCGTCAGACCCTCCCCACCCCGCTTTGGCCCCGCTGTCCTCGTCGTCTCTAGCTGCGCCACACCGCAGCGGCCAACATGGC